CACACACACACACACACACACACACACACACACTTCGTGATAATGCACACAGTCATTTCATGTCGCTGAGGATCATTAAATCTCTTTAAGTCCAGAATGAGACATTAATTCTTCATGAGAACAGCCATGAAATTCAATTCAGATGAAAATCAATATCTTTGTCGTGTTTGTGTTTCCACCACAGACATTCAGTTAAATAAGGCTGAGAAAAGCCTGAAAACATATTTATGAGACAAAATCTAAGAATAAACTTCTCGTTGTCACTCAGGTCTGTTTTTTGGAAAAGTAAATAAATGTATGCAAAAAAACATGAATGTGTCTAAAACAATTATCTGCTTATTCGTCCTCCTCATTACAATTAGCAAGTTCAATTATGCTTCATTGTTTCCACTACTTGTTGCTCTTTTTCAGTCTGAACAACTTCAATATAATTCAGTAAAATTAAAGCCAGTAACATTCAGCACCGCTAATTCAATAGTTCCTGTGAGAAGACACGAGCCCCAGAACAAGAACATTTCAGGACCGACCGAGTAAATGTTGGACCTTAAACATTTCAGGTTAAAGAATATGATTTGACATGATGAGAAGTCCTCCAGTGGGAGCAGGGATTTCCTTTTCTAAGCGACAGGCGCCATGAAAGACGTCCTGCACTCATGTCTATCACGGGGGTGAACACAGTCACACCCCCAGCCCTCCCCCCCCGCAGAGGGAGACACCACGCCCGTCTGCGGTGTGTGATGCTCCCTCCGTGTGACCGTCCATTATTGATGAGACTAGATCCATTCTGAGGCTCCCCCGGGATGATGAGCTCACTGATGAGGTCACCTCTCTGTGGGTGAACATAGAGTGAGAGGGGCTTCTACGTAAAGTGTCCAGGGTCCATCACCACTTTCTCCCCCAAATGTCCTGCAGCTGCACCGCCTCCGCATGCATCTTTTAACAGGCCGAGCCTCCATCGAACAATGTGCCGATGTCACATCTTTCAGTTTTGTGTGAACGCATGACATTAGAGGTTTAAAATGAAAAACTCTGTGATGTCATTTGTTGTGGGTTTTCTGGCTTTGTGTTTTAGGCTCGTCCGTCTGCTGCGGATTAGTAATCGCTAACGAAACAAAACACAATCAGGATTGGCATACTGTCAAATCGTCAAGAGCCGGGAAACATGGAGGAAAAACATTATTGAGACCAACCAGCAGAGCCTGCTCTTTCCCTACGAAGCAGAAAGTGATTCAGTGAAATGTTCTGTAAACTGTCCACATGTACAGAAGCCAAACAAACACGGCTGTGTGGCTCATCCCGAGTAACGAGACTGTAACACATATGGTTTGTTGTAGTTGCTAATCTGCAAATATGAGCCATTTTGGATTGTGCTCTCTGGGAGAGGATGAGGCATTGGTGCACGCACGTGCACGTACACGCACACACACACACACAGTATATGTGAGCACACACACCTCCAGCAGAGAGCTTTCCCGTTCAATAATCTGGGCCATAATTAGCTCCCTGGGTAAAAAGCCAAGAAAACGCAAACAGAGGGGGGAAAAAAAAAATGGCTTTTAAACCTAAAAATATCTCAGGAACTACGTAGCATTGCAGCAAATTTCCCATCTTTCATTATCAGAGTCACTGAAACAAACAAATACGAGTCATGGTGGAAGGAAATCTCTCACCTGCTCGTATAAGTGACAGAAAGGAGCCCCAGGACCCTCCTGTTGCCTTGGTTACGGGAGAAAAGATGAATGAAGGAGGAGGTGATGATGGTTTTAGTGGAGACGGAGCCAGAGAGATCTGACAGAATGACAAATTTACCTCTGGCTCATTTTCTCCCCCTGTGCCTCCCCACATCTCTCGCTCTCTCTCTCTCTCACCGCTGCAATTCCATATTCGCTCCAGTTTCCAGATAAATAACGACCCGCTTGTTTCTGAGGCAACAACACTTCAGAGGACCAGAGTGTAGATGGTGCTCAACACAGACACAAACAAAAAATAAATACAACTCTCCATTCCAGCAAAAAGTTTCTGAAGGTTCTGAAGAAGAAAAAACGCCTCAGAGAAAATTATCACCCAGAATGCAGCAGGGCAATCATATGCAATCTAGGTATTTATAGAGCGTCTGTCGGGCCTCTCTGCCTCTGGCCTCTGTCCTCTGCTGGCAGGAAGCTGGACGCAGCAGCTGCTCAGGACAAAACGCCACCGAGAAGAGAGTCCGGACGTGTACAACACTGAATGACGGCAGCACGTCCGACAAGATCTGACTTAGTGAGCATGTGAATTAAGAATGGAGGCCATGTTTCAATGCAGGGCCTCAGTTACAGTTATTTATAAATAACTTTCAAGCACAATCAGCTTCGTTTTCTCCTTTTCTCTCTTTCATCCACTTTAATGTGTCAAATACTTGGCGTCCAATATTATATTTGTTATATTTCATTTATGCATAAAGACATAAATACGCATCTCCACTTCCTCACACATACATCCGTGTGAGACAGAAACCATCTTTAAGAAAAAGGTATTTGACACATGTTGACTTTTTGATTTGGTCCATTTCCCATCAGCGACCTGGAGGAGGAGGGGTTTATGACCTGTACTGAAGGGACCCACCAGGGGGCGATCAAAACAATTTGGCTTTACTCTTGGGATGATCTATTTTTTTTATACAGTCTTTTCCAGTAAGACCAGGGAGGGATGACCCCTAAGACAACAGCTCTCAGTAAGTAATACAAAGGGCAGCTCACCTTTATGTCCGGGCCGTTGCAGTTGAGGCTCAGCCCGCACTCGTCTGTGATCTCTGTAATCTCAGACAGGTCGTCATCCTCAAACTCATCCAGGCTGATGTCATGGGTCAACCTGGTTGAAGGGTGGGATTAGGGTGATAAGAGAAAGAAGAGGGTGAAGGAAAAGAAAAAAAAAAAAATTAACGTTATAATCCTTCAGCACTCATCCGCAGCCTCGGAACATCTCAAAATCTCCTGTTGACCGAATTTAACCGGGTGAAAACTCTGAGCCAAAATCCTATGACACATGAATGTGGGTCACAAGCTCTGGTCACAAATGTCAACATGGAAAAGTCTATTACATATGATATAGTTTAAAATACAAACACAGCTTTTAATTAATGATGTATCTTTGATTTCTAGTCATTTGCCTTTTTATCCAAGTTTCTTTGTGCTTTGTTAAAATAAAATATTACTATTATTAACATCGTAATGGCTGCATTAAGCTTTTTAATCGATTGTATACTCACAAACAAACTATAATTTATTGCTCAGTGCCTACGATCTGTTACTCTGGACCAACAATCACCAAAACTCTTATTTTGGTGCATTTCTTCTATATCAGCTACTTCTTAAAAAAGAATTTCAAGATTCCCTTCAGCTCCACACAGAGAATCACAAAACCAGCCACTGGCAGCACATTCTCATCACAAGCAGACGCCATTGTTACACCCCTGGTCAGTGAAAACAGCAGACACCGGACGAGGGGGTGGGTACGTGGTGGGGTGCAGACTGTTCATGTGGCTGCTGGTTAAGCTTTAGCAGCGCGGACAAAGCTGCACACCCACAGTGATGAGGAGACTGAATCATAGCGATAGTGGAGTGGAAGGGAAACGCGTGATCGCACACGACAGCTCAGTCTGAGGGTTTATTGTAGCTGAAATCACATCAGAGCAGACTGAACTGATCCCGACTAAAACTTAAAGTTTCAGGAGTTGCTTGACCAAAGAGCCACAGTTTTAAAATAATCTTCTAAATCCTGTGAGGGGAAAGTAATTCTATAGGTTCACAATAGAATGTGTGGTCAGCAACCTTCATAGCAATCCAGCCACGTTGTGTAAAACAGTATCTCAGGCAAAAGAGGTTCGGCGTCTGGGAACCATGAATATGCTCAGTGAATTTCAGGGGATGTTTTGGAAATGTTGACATGAGGAATCATAAGGATCCATCATCTTGGGAGGAGGAATTGTTGTTGCTGATACATCTGCACAACCCTGTCGGAACAACGTCCTGGTTATTGAGCCAAACGGACATGTTGATAAGTCCTGATATGAAAACTGTTATTTTACAGAATAAACATTGCAGAAAATATCTTTTGATAATAATTGAGTTTCTATAGATTTAGTCGTATTTAAAAGCTTCATATTCATATTTATTTATACATATCTGTATATTAAGTTTATGGTTGAACAATAAAACATCAATGACCTCTTAGGAATCATTGTAAAATGTTTTGATCATTACAAAGCTTCAACCTCTGCGTCAGTTTAATACAAGCACATCGACCTAGCGCAGCAGTGCACGTGGAGGCGAGCATCTTCTGAGTTTACTGGACTTCCAAAAGAAAAAAACAACTAACAATAATAAACAAATAGAAAAACCCATTTATTTTGCAGAGAAGAGCAGAAGGTCTTAAAGTCTCCTGCAGCGACCCAGGACATCACTCCAGATTCAAGCAGGGAAATGTCCTGCTGCTGTAGCAGGATTCAATTAGCTGCCTGTAAACAATGCATCAGTTTCGCCCATCTGTAATTATGTCGGCCTGTTATCCCTTTACCCAGCAGCCTCCTGGGCATGACAGAGAGAGACAGGGCAGGGAAATGTTATTAGCGGGAGGAAAGAGAAGGAGCAGTGAGCTGTCAAAGAGACCTGGTGAACCTGGAGAGCTATGAGCCCCCCTGTTGCTGCATGATGCTAATGTCATTTCTGACCGCACAGACACTGCAGCTGTCTCCTCCCGCAAACGTACACGCAGCTGCGACCGTCTTCAGCCATCGCGTGTCAGCGGACGGGAGTTAAATAGCCCGAGAAGAAGCATCTGTTTAGCTCTCTAATGAGACACCGAAGGAGGCAGCAGAGAAGAGCTGATGGATGGAGAGGAAGAGACGGAATGAAAGAGACGGAAGATGAAGAGTTAGTGTGAATCCTGAAAACTGTGGGGAGAGAATAAAGGATACCTGATGAGGATACATCTGAAGAAATCAGCCAGTGGAGTACAATCATTCACCTTCATTCAACAATCCTTTAACTAAGAAGCTGCAGCATCACTGTGAGTTTAGGTTTGAGAGATTGTACTGATTAAAGTAAAACACCTTCTCCTGATCCAAGGTTGATTTTTTCTACCTTGAAATCTAAATGCAACAGTTGGGGAGTGAGGATGAAAAATGTAAAGTTGGGATGAGGCTGGTGATTATCTAAAGTTTTATTTCATAAAAATAAAAACAATGAATTGATCCTGCACGTTTCGCCATCGTAACAAAGCCTGATGCAGCTCGTCCCTAAAATAACAGAGTTTAACCCCATGATCCTAAAACTAATTTTTACTCCCACTCTGATTTATGTCTCCATCGACTCTGAGAATCAGCAGGTCGGTGAGAGCCATAAGACTCGACCATGGGCTCCACGTGCAGCTGTAGAACCAAAACAATGAGCTACAAGAGGCTAAATACAGTGTGGGGCTGCAGGGCTGGTGTTCCATACTTGATTTCGGAGCTTTAACAACAGTGTTTTCTGCTTAAGTCTAAGCAACGAAATAAATTTTGAATAAACAAGGTGAACAGAGCTCTGTAGCAGCAGCGGCTGGAACGCAACAACACGAGTCGGGTCACTGATACCGACAAATATTTAGTCACAACAACGGCACCAGAAACTGAAACTCAATTTCAAGGTTCTGCAAACTGAGCCGTCACTTCTGAGCTTTGAGCAAACAGACGAACAGTAGTGCACCCCACCCCCCCATGCCTGTAATATATCTCCAGCTCTTCAACATGCTCAACTCACAACCTGTGGTTTCAGGCGCCATCCCAACTTCAATTTGACCGAGGCGTCGTTCAGGGGAACCTGCTCTGCTTTAGAAACTCAAGAACTGTGCACTTATCAGTTCACTACTAATGTAATTTGTTACAGCACAGACAGCTGCTTGGGAAAGGAACAAAATCAATACCCTCCTCGGTGTCCCCCCCGTTATCAGCCTCACTTACAGGAAGGAGAAGAAGGGCGGACGAGGGGGAGAGACATAAATATGTCACGTTATTTTGACCGTGAATTGCAGGATTTTGACCCTTAATTGCGGCTTCAGAAGGACTGAGAGAGGAAGGGAGCGTAGAGAGTGGAACAAAGAGGTGATGTCGTGACTGTAGATCCAACCCTGAGGAAAGAGGCGGTGGACAGTGAGAGGATGGAGAGAGTCATAAGGACAAAAGGGGAATGGTAGGAGGGAGGAGGGGAATTAAGTGCTGGGAGATAAACCACCAGGACTGGACAGGGTGACCTCCCTGCTGCAGCGAGTTGAGGGTAAAGAGGGATGAGGACACTGGAGAAAACCAACAGAGTGCGTATTACAGAGCAAATTACATTGTCACACATCAAGGCTCAGACATCAGAGGGTGGCGTGAAATGTTGAGCACGCCTGACGATCAAACAGGCTGCACGGTCGCATCCCAGTCAAAACCTGAAAACATCCTGTTACAGATTTGAGAGGATATTTTCTTCTCTCAAGGATGAGAGGATTCATTTATCTCAGAGATCTGTAAAAGCAGAGCCGTTGTTCTGTGGACGTATTTTATCCCTGACAGCATCATTAAGGCGTAACAGCATACTCAACAAGACACTGCACCCACACCACTCAGAGCTGTGTTCAAACAGCTTCCAGCTACATGAGAAACGATGGATTGAACCCTGGGTTTGAACATATATATATATATATATACATACATATATATAAATAGTCTTGATAGATGCTTTTCATATTATATTATGTGCTTAGTTTGCACATCTGAATATCAGTTTAAAAATGTGGATCAACCTTTTTACTCTCAGAGAATTTGAAATATTGATATTGGAATACTGCTTCTTCACTGATTCAAGTTTTAAGCAGCAGCAATTAGGCTAGTTGATTTATTTCTATAGTTAATTGCTAAAAGAAAATCAATTTTAGCTCAGTTTTTTGTTTAATTCAGAGAATACATTCAGGACACTTCACGGTTGAACAAAATGAGAGAAAGCTGTTCAGACCACGAGTAAACACTTTGTAGAGAAAATAAAAAAATCTGATCTGCAACAATTCAGATAATCAGTTCTTAGCGTGTCATCAAGTATCAGAAAGAAAATATCCACAACTCCTTAAAATTGTATTAAAGTTGCTATTTTTCTCCCATTTTCATAAAAGTGAACTGGTGTTCTTTGGTTTTGGGGTTACTGCTCAAGCAAAACAAGAAATTAGAAAGTGTCCCCTTGGAGAGAGCTTGATTTATCATTAATGACATTCTCAATGTGAGGGTGAATGGTTTTCTCACCTTCTGATATTACCTGTCCAAGGTGGAGCCTACCTCTCGCCTCGTGTCAGCTGGGATCGACTCCAGCCCTGCACAACCCTCAAAACATAAGCGATATAGATAATGAACGGACGGACTATTGACGTTCTGAATGTGAGCATGACTGATGGTCTGTCTCTACGCATCAGCTCTGCGATATTACCTGTCTACCTCTCGCCTAATGTCAGCTGTTATTGGTTCAAGCCCCCCCCAATGACCCTCAGCGAACAAGTGATGCAGATAATGAAAGGACGGACTATTGACGTTCTGACATTTTAATGGTTTCATCGAGAAGCCCAGAAAGAAATCAGGGGTCTAACTCATGGTGACGATAAACGTTACAGAGCAACAGAGCTCGCTGGAGGAGAGTAAAGATCAGGAAGAATGGATCAGCTGAGCTCGACAGCAGCGTCATTAGCACCTGAAAGTCCCCGATAAAAAAAAAACATTTTCATTTCAAGCGTGAACACAACCTGAAAATCCTCACAAATGAGGCAATGTGCCTGTAACTCTGGAAGAACACGATAAAGATACTCACAGG